TCGGGTATTAGTCAGGAGACTTCAGATTTTGTGACCAAGCTCCCAAGCTCCAAGCTGAGGCAGCTCATCTCCCGACAATGAGGATAACATAAAGATAACCCAAAAGCCATTTTCAACGTGGTGTCCCTCTTTTTGACCAAGTGTCTAGGAATCGTCTGCTAAGCCAGGATTGGGAAATAGTGTGGGTAAACTTTTGCCTGAATCCAGGAGATGGATATCTTTCGGAATCTGTGCTGAGGCCCGGCCCCCAAACGGAGGGTATTCCCGTTCGCTACCCCCATCTCACATGATGCACCCTTTAATGGAGGAGTGCTCTCTATTCTATCCATGATTTATCGAGAATAAAGCGTAAGCTGGAGTCGCCTTGTAAGGTAAACTGGACAAAAAAGAGAGTGATAGAGTAAGGGAGGCATATAAAACTGTCGTGAATGGTAAGTTGACCATCACCGAGTCTACCTGTCTCCTATTCATCTGCACATAATTTGGCGCCTTGTGTTCAACTGAGACCTGCTTGCTGGGCAGTGTCTGTCCCAACTCCATGGTCCATCTTGGCCCATCCGACCGCTTACAGCTACTCCAAACCACTTTTCCCTCCAACTCGGCTCTACCAGTCTCCAAACATGACAGTTTCAAGTCGGCCGGCACATCACAATTAGGACACCAGGTGGACGTTATATCCTTATCCGGTGCTGTCCAGTCAGATAAGACTCCCCTTTGCCGCGACTTGGGATGCAGGAAACTGGCAGGCTGGTCGTGCTGGAGATTAGGAAAGAGGAGTTCGCCTAAGCGTTATGCCTCTCCTATTCACTTCACAACACACCTTCAGTCGGACCGAAAGATATCACCTGATTTTCGGCAAGACATAGATCATTTTCAGACAAGATGAGCAATCATGAGTGCCAGAGGAGGTTACAGGCAGGATTTGCAAATGTCACTTTGAGGAGAAACTCAAATCTGCAATGTCACGCAAATAAACATGGTCAATGGACTATATATATATGTATATATATTCGTTATCTTACTTCTCTCTATATCTTCTCGCCTTCGTTTCTCCCTTTTCTTCTTATACCGAGCCAAGTGTGAATATACTCATCCTTATCCCATCACATACGTGTGGGCCACTTAGCAAATATACCCACAGTGCGGGTATATATACATGTACATATACCTGTAGTCATACATACATGCATACACTTACAAATAATAGGTATATTCGTTTGATGACCCGCACACAAGTATTCGGATAATGGTGAGGATATTCACACTCGGCCTGAACTAGAAATAAAATATAAGAGTTAAGGAGGGAAAATGTAGCTAATAGGATATAGTAGATATAAATATTATTTAGCTACTCCATCTATTCTATCCTGCTTCTTTGTGGACCTTCTTGCCCTCACACTTTCCTTTGCTTCCTGTTTGAGGTCCAGGATGAATATACCCGTCCTCATCCTATCAATTGCGTGTTGTTCAGTAAACAAATATACTCATTACATGTGTATATACAGTGGGGATATTTGTTTAGTGC